GATTGTGATTTCCTTTGAGTATGTGCCCAGAAAAGGAACTGATGGGTCCCATGGTAGCTTGTGTTTTTAATTTCCATCGGGACTTCCCACACTGTGTTGTATAATGGTTGTACCAGTCTTCATTCTCGTCAGTAGTGTGCAGAGGTTTCCCTTCCTCCATACCCTTCCCCAACACTTGTTATCTCTTACATGTCTGCTAATAGCTATCTGTCTTAACAGGTATAAAATAGTATCCCAGTGGTTTGAGTTTGTATTTCCCTGATGGTCATTGATGGTGACCACCTATATACCTATTGAACTTTTTTGTTATCTTTAGAGAAACAAGTCTTCTGCTCTTTAATTGGGATGTATTGTTTTTCTTGCTATTGGGTTATACTGGTTCTTTAAAAATCTTGTACACCTTTTTCTCTGAAATAGTTTGCAAATGTTTTCCCAATTTATTGACTGAGATTGCTGACTTTATATATGTGTGTGTTCAAGTATGTACATGTGTGGGTGTGCATACCATGTGTCAAGGCCATGGGTCCACATCAGGAGTCATCCTTGATTACTTTCCACCTTATTATTATTTTAATTTTTTATTTATTTACTTGTGTGTGTGTGTGTGTGTGTGTGTGTGTGTGTGAGACATGTACCACAGAGTATGTGTGGAAGTCAGATGACAACTTAGGAGTTGATTTTCTCCTTCTATATGAGGGTTCCAGGGATCAAACTCAAGTTAGCAGTCTTAGTGGCAAGGGCTTTTACCTGGTAAGCCATCTTGCTGGCCCTCTACCTTCTTTTCTTTTCTTTTCTTTTCTTTTCTTTTCTTTTCTTTTCTTTCTATGCTCTGAAATGGCAAATGTAGTTTCAGAAGAGACAGCTCCATATCCTTTCTGACCTGTGTCCTGCTGTGCGACTGGCCACCTGTTGCTCTGCTGGGCAGCTTATCTTAAGTTGTCTTGCAGAGAACAGGTAAGGTCTGGTAGACAGAATAAAGCACTCTCCACTTGGTGTTACAGTGCCTTCTGTCATACTTTATTCCCATTGCTTATGCCTCACTGACCTCACAGGATCCAGAGTAGACAGGAGCCAGAACTGATGCATTCCTGAGTCAAAGGACCAAGTCATCAGCACTGGAATTTACTTTGTGTGATTCACAGATGGGCTGGAGGTCAGTCTCAGGAGACTTATTTAAGCTTGAAAAAGAAGAAAATATAGGACAATCTTGTGAATATGATTATGGTCTGAGCTTTGTACTAGCGGAAGCAAAGTGCTTGGAAAATGGGAACTCTGCTTGAGGGGAAAAAGGGAGGAAGCTAACTGGGAGGTAGACTGACATAAAATAATGAAGAATACTGATTGAGCTGGGCGTGGTGGCACATGCCTTTAATCCCAGCACTTGGGAGACAGAGGCAGGTGGATCTCTGTGAGTTCGAGACCAGCCTGGTCTACATAGTGAGTTCCAGGCTAGCTGGGGCTACAGGGAGACCCTGTCTCAAAAAGACCAAAAAAAAAAAAAAAAAGAATACTGATTGAACTGCCAGGAGTTCAGGGTGGTGTGCATGGAGCCAAAAGAAAAGAAAGTTCAGAGGGGTCAGGAAGATAAGGTACAAATTTATATTCAACAAACATTTGGTTTGGAATCGTAGCTCAGTGACGGTGCTTACCTGGCACGGGTTCAGTCCCCAGCACCACAGAACAAGCAAACTAAAAACAAAGCATTTATGAAGCCCCAATATGTAGGAGATCTATGTTTTCTGAGTTAATCCCAAAATGACTGATATCTTGATTTTCCTGTTAGGGAAACATCAAGAGCTGAGATGTTCCATGGCCTGTTTATAAATAAGTAGAAGAGGCAGTTGGAACTGGATCTGTCTGACTCAGTTCAGTGTTCTTTCCACTACTGGAACGAGACCTGAGATGCTGTCCTGTAAGGTGTATGAGCTAACATTGGCAGCATAGCAGAAACTGACCCCAAGCTTTCCCTGAGTAGATGAACTCCACTGGAAACCCAGTAAGACTGTTAAAAAAGACTGTTTAAAAAAATAAAGGAGGGGGACTGGAGAGATGGCTCACTGGTTAAGAGTACATACTGCTCTTCCAGAACACCTAAGTTTAGTTCCTGCTCCGAAATCAGGTGGCTCATAACTGCCTGTAACTCCAGCTTCAGGGGCTTCAATGCCTCTGGCCTCTGCAGGAACCTGTACTCAGATGTACATACCCACACAAGACACAATTAAAAATAATAAAAATAAATCTTAAAAAATGAAAGTAGGGCCAGGCATGGTGGCACACGCCTTTAATCTCAGCTCTTGGGAGGCAGGAGGATCTCTGTGAGTTCCAGGCCAACCAGGGTTATATAGTAAGACCTTATATCAAAAAACCAAAAATAAATAAATAAAAAATAAAAGGAGGGGCTAGGCATGGTGGCACACGCCTTTAATCCCAGCAGAGGCAGGCAGATCTCTGTGAGTTCAAGGCCACCTGGTCTACATAGCAAGTTCCAGGCCAGCTGAGGCTACAGGGAGACCCTGTCTCAAAAAGACCAAAAAAATAATAAATAAATAAATAAATAAATAAATAAATAAATAAATAAATAAATAAATAAAAAGAAGGACTGGAGAGAGTACTCAGTCAGTAAAATGATTGCTGCATAAGCACAGAGACCTGAGTTCAATCCCTGGAACTCACATAAAAATGCCGGGCATGGTGATGCAGGCTTGTAATCTCCGTGCTTGGGAGGCAGAGGCAAGAGGATCATTGGGGCTCAGTGGCCACCCAGCTTAGCCTAACTGGCAAGCTCCAGGCTAATGAGAGACCATGTCTCAAAAAACAAGGTAGATGGCTCCTGAGGAATGACTCCTGAGGTTGATCTCTGTCCTCCACATACATGTGCACATGTACCTGCCTGTACACTTGTGTACCCATACAAACATCTGCCTACACAGACAGACAAACACATACACCAAACAAAAATAAGATCTCTCTCAGGGCTGGATAGCTCAGCAGTTAAGAGCACTGACTGCTCTTGCAGAGGGAGGACCTATGTTCAGTTCAGTTTACAACCATCCAAAACTCTAGTTCCAGGGAGTTCAAGGCCCTCTCTGGCCTCTGTGTGCATTGGTCCACTTACATACATGCAAGCAAAATACTCATACACATGAAGTAAAAATAAATAACAATAATAATAAATAAATTTAAAATTAGAAAAGAAGTAACATGCATGGTAAAAATTTTGAGTAGCACTGAACAACATTAAGTGGGAATTTTCTTTCTCTGCCATAATCTCTATTCCTAGTCACAGTCGCATCCCCAAAGTCATGATTCCTGAAGTATTTGGTGCTTACTCTTAATTTTTGTGATCTGTGGTGGCATTTAACACACCAGAGGTGAGGAAATTGAAAACCATGTCCCATGAGGAAGATTTGAAGGAACTAAAGAGGTTTAGTCTGCAGAAGCAAAAGTGCTGAGACAGCGAGTGTGGTATCTTCAAAGTAGCTCCAGGCCTAGGGGATCCTGAGCAGAAGTGGCATATCCCATTCCAGATGGCCCCAGAGGTTGCATTTGGACCCATGGCATGGACATTATTGGAGAGGCAGAGTTTAGCTCAGCGAAAGGAAGAAGAGCCATCTTAGTAAGGGGGCACAGTACTTCCCATAAGAGATATTCCCATAGAGAGGGCTGTGAAATATGGCTGAAATTTTAAATGGGGTGGTCAAGAAGTTTGGGCAGAGATGGTGCTTTTTTACCTGCTGGAAATGAGACTTTTGCAGCACTGTGGAGAAGGGTATCCTGGGAAAGATAAACAGCATGTTAAGGCCCTGAGGCTCCCTGGACTCCAGGGAGGCCAGAGTGGTGGAGCTAAGTGAGCCAAATGAGCAGAAGATGCTGTGAGAAGTGATGGGGACCAGAGGTGGAAACAGATTTTTTTCTTGTTTGTTTGGGATTTATTTATTATTGAACCTCAGGGCCTGCCCACAGCTCAGGGACCATTGTGGAAGAGGGGGCAGAAAGATTGTAAGAGTCAGGGCTGGTTCATGAACACAGGAAAGCAGAGGCTTTTAGGCCACCTGAAACGTGCACATGTGAATTTGTGGCTATGGTGGCATCAAACATAGGACCCATGCCAACTCAACTGAACAGAGGTCCAGAGGGGAGGAGAGAGATGGATGGTGGACCGACTCTAGACTGAGAGCTGTTGGAGGCTGGTTGCTGCTGGGTGGGGGAGAGCATGCCTTGCACACTATCTTTGGATGAACTGACTGGACTCTAGTGGATGAATTTGCAATGAAAGGCATCTGGGTGCAAATGCTTGCCTGGTTAGGACTTACCATGTGTGGTGGAGTGCATGGGGTCCTGTGGGGGGATGGGGGAGGTATGGATGGGGAAGGGGTTCAGGGTTTGATTGAGAACTGTTATATGAGAATACAGAAGCTCATTAAAAAAAAAAAAAGGCTATTTTGTGGGTTGTTTTTTTTTTTTTAAGACAGGTGCTGGCCTTGAACTTAAGATCCTCCCGCTCAGTCTCCCAAGAGCTGGGAGTTCAAACATGCCACCATACCCAGTTTGTTTTATGAGTTACCATAAATGGGGCAGGTCAGTGACCATAAGGCAATGCCACCTCTCTCCTTTAAACGCCTTTTGAGGGGCAAATGTGGCACAAGACAGATCTCTGTCTGGAAATAAGGGCTCCTTCCAACTGTCAGGCTGATTCTGTGTGTGTGTGTGTGTGTGTGTGTGTGTGTGTGTGTGTGTGTGTGTATGTATGTGTGTGTGTGTTTGTATTTTTATATTATTTACTTATTCTAAGACAGGCTCAAGCTGGCCTCAAACTCACTGTGTAGCCAAGGATGACTTTGGACTTCTGATCCTCTGGTCTCTACCTCTCAAGTGCTGAGGTTGCAGGCATGTGTCACCATGCCTGGCTTTATGTTAGGGATTAAATTTAGGGCTTTATGCATGCTAAACAAGCACTCTACTGAGCCACATTCCCAACCCATTTCTTGCTTTTCACTTAGAAATTCCAGCATCCAAAGTTGCATCTTCTTCATCGGGAGGACTTCATCTGGAATCTGAAAAGCATTCCTCTCCTAGAGAAGTATGTGGATGCCTTGGGCCAGAATCGCAACCGAGAGATTGTTGAACAGGTCATTCAGCTGTTTAAGGAAGAAATAATGACCAAATTAAGTAATTTTAGAGAATGTGAGTATTCTTCCAATTATGTATTTTTTTCAACATAGAAACTGGCAAATTTCACATCATCAGGAAAGCATGGAGGTATAACTTGGCTTTATCAAGTCTTAAAACATTTCCATATTTGCTATTTTTAAAGAATATTATCTTTAATATTCTTAAAATTACTGCATTTGAAACCTCCCTTTTTTATTTTTACTTGGTTTGTTCTTGTTGTTTTGAGTGTATGTCCAAGGTGGTCTTGAATTCACAGAAATTCTCCTGCATCAGTCTCCTAAGTGCTGGGATTATAGTCATAAGCCAAATGTCCAGTTGAAAATTCCACCACCTGTCTCTGCCCTACTAAGTTTACATACTCTATATATGATTTACATATTATTTATAGTAGTGTGTTTTCATGTTTTATGTACATGGTACCACACTGTAAGCTTTTAATTCACTATTTTGTTTATTTATTACAGTCATGGGGATTGGGGGGCATACATACCACAGCGCACGTGTCAGGGTCAGAAGACAACTTCCAAGAGTCATTTCTTTCCTTCTACTATGTGGGTTCCAGATATTGAACTCAGGTCTTCAGTCTTCACAGCAAGTGCCCTTACCTATTGGGCCATCATCTCACAGGCCCCTCAACGTTTTTTTTCAGGTTTGTCAATGTTACTATATATAGTTCTAGTTTATTAGGGGTCTTTTTGTTTTAATTTTTAAATGTATTTAATTCCTTATATCTATGAGCATTTTTGCCAGAATGTAAGTGCATCTGTGCATTCAGTGCCCACAGGGGGCAGAAGAGGGCGTAGGATTCCTTGGAGCTGGAGTTACAGATGGTTGCTAGCCACCATTTGGGTGCTGGGAACTGAACATGGGTCTTCTGCAAGAACAGCCAGTGCTCTTAACTGCTAAGACATCTCTCCAGCCCTATTTTTTAATTTTCTTTTGTTTTGTTTTTAACTTTGTTTTTGTTTTTTTTTTTTTTTTACACAGGATTTTTCTCCCATGCTGGCCTTGAATACTTGGCACTCCTCCTACCTCAGCCTCCCAAAGACTAGAGACAGACAAGTGCCATCATTTAAATTATGTTTAACTGCTGATAGTGTTTCATAACATTGTGTTTAAATTTGGGGGCCATTGTCTTGTTAATGGAATTTTACTTTGCTTCCTTTTTTCTACATAAATGATGCTCCCTGAATGTTCTAGTACAGATCTCCCATGTAGATGGATGTGAGTTTCTCTAGGGCACATAAGCAGATGTAGGGAGACTTCTCACACTTCTCACACAGCACTGAGTTCTGGTCAGTGGGGACTGAAAGGCATTTCTACAAGGTCCAGGTGGGCAGAATGTGTCTGTTTTTCTGTGTGCTTCATTGTGTGAACACATGAGTATAGTGTAAAAGCTGAAGTAATTTTTTCCCTCAAACCTGCTTTTCTTATAGTCTTCTTCATCTCACTAAAACAGCGTGCCCACCATTTACCTAATTGATCTTGCCCAAAATTTAGGTCAACCTTGGCTTTGTTCTTTTTCTCACACCCACTTCAGTCTAGCTCAAGTCAGAGCCTCCTTTAACCACTCTTCCTCACCTCTCCTCTCACAGCTGGCCAGGCTACCAGCATGTCTCATCTGGATTGTGGCAGTAGCCTCCTATTGAGATTCTACTATAACTTTTGTGGGAGTATGTACTATGGTGCATGTGGCGACATATTTGTTAATTTTTACTGTAGTCTGTTCATATACCACACATTATTCTATTCTTAAAACATATCCAAGGAGCTTGAGAGATGGCTCCAGCTCTTGCAGAAGACCCAGGTTTGACGCCCAACACCCACACAGCGGCTAACAACTGTCCATAACTCCAGTCCAGGGGATACAGTACCCTCTTCTGACATCCGCAGGCTTTGCACAACAAGGGTGCATCTACCTACATGTAGGCAATACATTCATACACATAAAATTAAAAATAATAATAATAAAAAACACATCTGAGATGTTCCTAATTTTCAGCTACTTAGAACAGGTCATTTTTGAGTCTCAGTATGAATGTTCATTAGATCTTTGTGTACCTAGCTGGGATTGCTAGATCATATGACACACATATGTACATACATATGTATATTCAGCTTGACTACGTAATGCCAGTTTTCAAAAGTTGCTGTATGAATTCATACTACCATTACCAGGATATAAAGTATTCCTACTGCTCTACATCCTTGATGTTGTGAAGCTTAAATTTTTTACAGTCCATTTGCATGTAACAGTTTCTCATTGTGGTTTAAAAATACATTTTCCTGGGGCCAGAGAGATGGCTCAGTGGTTAAGCACACTGGCTGTTCTTGCAGAAGACCCAGGTTCAAATCCCAGCCACCCACATGGCAGCTAACAACTGTACGTAACTCCAGTTCCAGGAGATCCAACGGCCTCTCTGTCCTCTGACAGCATTGCACAGCATGGGTGTACTTACATACATGCAGGCAATATACACATACACACAAAATAAAACTAATAAGTAAAAAAAAAAAAATTTAAATACATTTTCCTAGCTACTGGCCATGTATATATACTCTTGTGAAGTGTCTATTCAAATCTTTTGCCTGTTTTCTGTTGGGAGCTTTTTCTCATTGATTGATTGATCAAAGTTCTAAATATACTCCAGATATGAGTCCTTTGTTATTAAATTGCATATGCTACAAATGTTTCTCCCATTTTGTGTTCAGAATATTTGATTGGCTTCAAATATTTTAACCTTACTTCATGGTTAGTAGCATGTAAATATAGATGTTTTTCCTCAACATATTATCAGGAATATACCTTTCTATATTATCTTCCTAAATTTTATACTTTTTGCTTTTTACATTAGACCTATACTCTGTCTGGGCTTTTATATACGATATGATTTTGTCTTATGACTGATAAATTTCCCCATTCTCATTTATTACAGACTGCTTTTTCTCTTCTCTGTTTTGCAGTACCATCTTTGTTATAAATCCAGGGTGTTTTAGACCATTTTATTATTCTGGTTTATTTGTTTATCTCTGTACCATACAACAATGTATCAGTCAGGCTAGGTCATACTACAGTAACAAGTACCCCTCAAGTTATTGTGAACCACAGTTACAGAGATTTAGCTCCAACCCAAGCTGCATGACTATCATAGAGTGACTGGGGCTCTATCCCATTTTTGGATTTAGACTGATAGAACTTTAGTCAACTCAAATATTGCTGTGGCATTGGGAAAGAGAATTAGCAAATTATATGTATCTTCATTTTTCTTTTTATTAATTTTTAAGGTTAGCATATAAAGTTATGGGCTTCATCATGACATTTTCATATATATATATGTGAATATATTTTGGTCTTATTCACCCCTTTCCCCCACTGCTCTCCCATTGCTCCTGCCCCTCTTCCTGGACCCCTTCCTTGCCCTAAATGTCCACCTACTACCATGTCGCATATTTTCCATCACCCTCTTTCCCCATCTTCTCCCTCCCAAGATCTCTTTTTCCCCTCTCGTGGCTCCCCTTCTTGATTCATGCTCTATACTAACACACCACACACACACACACACACACACACACACACACACACGCACGCACGCGCGCGCGCATGCATGCACGCACGCACACACTTAAATCTAGAGCCTACATGTGAGCGAAAACATGCAGTATTTGTCTGTTTGAGTCTGGCTTATTTCACTTTAACATAATGACTTCCAGTTTATCTATTTTCCTGAAAATATTATGATTTCATTTTTTATTTATGGCCAAATAAAATTCCATTATGTATGTGTGCTACATGTTCATTATGTAGTCATCTGTTAGTGGACATATAGGCTGGTCCCATTTCCTACCTCTTGTGAACAGCACAGCATTAAGTACTTGAGACTTCAGCTTTGAAATAACAATCATTTATGTTCATATGTCAATGACCAAAAATGGTCACAATGGCCACATTACTTTTTTAAGAAGTAGAGAGTACAGCCCAGCAGGTTCTAGGGCAGAACTTCTGAGTGTCCCTAAAGATTGCCACACCATCTTAATTTCTTTTGTCTTTGTATAGAGCAGAACATACCTTCCTGCCTTCTTCTTTTATATGAAGGTTTTAACTATTTTTCCTTTAAATTGCCATATCAATTTGAGGATCAGCATGTCTTGTAATCCATGAACAAAGTCAGTCTCTGTTTCATAGATCATAGGAGATATTTTTATCTATAGGTTATCTATATCCTTAAGTTGTAGATAAATTTATATTTATATATATTTTTATTTATTTATTTATAAATTTTCCCCTAGAGGTAGTATACATTCAAATTTTACTTATTTATTTATTTGTTTGTTTACTTATTGGAGGTCAGAGGGCAACTGTAAGTGTTCGTTCTTCCACTTTGTGGGACTTGGGGATTTAATTGAAACCCAATGTGGTTATTATATTGTTTTGTTTTTCATTATAGTTTGCTAATGTTTTATGATTTTTCACATCTATATTCCTAAGTAACACAGTTTTGCCTTTATAATATCCTTGTTTGGTCTTGTTAGTCTCATAAAATTAGGGAGTTCTTCCATTTTCTTAGTAATTAGAAGATTAGGAAAGGGCTGGAGTGATGACTCAGTTATTAAAAGCACTTGCTGCTCTTCCTGAAGACTGGAATTTGGTTCTTATTACCCACATCTGCCTCTAGCTCCAGGGGCTCTGACATCCTCTTCTGGTATCTGCAAGCACCCACACATATGTGGTATACATACATACAATCACATATACACACAAATAAACTAAAAGTTTTTAAAAGATTAGAATATTTTGCCAGGAGTGGTGGCACACTCCTTTAATTCCAGCACTCTGAAGGCAGAGGCAATCAGATCTCTGTAAGATCAAGACCAGCCTGGTCTACATAGCAAGTTCCAGGACAGCTGGGGCTACCAGGAGATCCTGGCTCAAAAGCCAAACAAACAAACAAAAAAGTTCAATGTCTCTTTAATTTTTATTTATTTTTATTTTTATGAATATGAGTGTTCTGCCTGCATATATATATATATAAGTACATCATGTGTGTGCAATGCCCAACGAGGCCAGAAGAGGGCATTGGAACCCCTGGAACTGGAATTATGAATGGTTGTTAGCTGTAATGTGTAGTCTGGGAACCAAACCTGGGTCCTCTGCAAGAGCAGCCAGTGCTTTTAAGCACTGAGCCATCTCTCCAGCCCTGAAGAAGTAAATATTTAAAACAGTAAACCAATTCGAGTATGGTGGTGTCCACCTTTAATCCCAGCACTCAGGAGGCCAAGGCAGGTGGATCTCTGTGAGATTAAGGCTGGCGTGGTCTACATAATGAATTCTAGGCTGACTGGAGCTACAGGGAGGCTAGTGAGCACTTAAAATGTGGCTTGTGCAACTGAGGAACTAGGATGTCCAGTTTTATTTAAATACTCATGTGTGTGTGTATATATATGTGTATGTATATATATATACATACATACATACACATATATATATGCAATTAAGTTGAGTTCCTTAATTCATGTTGTTGAAATTTCCCATATCTTTTTTTTTTTTTTTTTTTTGAGACAGGGTCTCCCTGTAGCCCCAGCTGTCCTGGAACTCACCATGTAGACCAGGCTGGCCTTGAACTCACAGAGATATGCCTTCCTCTGGCTCCCAAGTGCTGGGACTATAGGCGTGCACCACCACGCCTGGCCTAAATTTTCCATATCTTTTACTGATCACTTTTGTCTGCTTATTCTAACAACTGCTGAGTGAAATATACTTCAGTTTCCTACTATGATATAGATGTCTGTTTTTCCCTTTTATTTCCGTCAAAAAAAAAATTTTTTTTTTTGGTCGTTTTTGAGACAGAGTCTCCTTGTAGCCCCAGCTGTCTGGAACTCACCATGTAGACCAAGCTGGCCTCGAACTCACAAAAGATCCACCTGCCTCTGCCTCCCAAGTGCTAGGATTAAAGGCATGGGCCACCACTCCTGGCAAAATATTCTGATCTTTTAAAAACTTATAGTAATGACAAGATAATTTTCTCTTTTTTTTGGTCTTTTTGGGACAGTGTCTCCCTGTAGCCCCAGCTGGCCTGGAACTCGCTATGTAGACCAGGCTGGCCTCGAACTCAAGGACATCTGCCTGCCTCTGCCTCCTGAGCACTTGGATTAATGGCGTGTGCTACCACACCCAGCTATTTATGTAAAATTTTGCTGTCTACATTTTGAATCAAGTTGCATTCCAATTTTAGAAATTTATGGTTTAAAATTTATGATTTACAATTATGCTCATTGGTATTCATATTAGTTACCTTTCTGTTGCTGTGATAAAACATCATGACCAAGGGAACTTATAGAAGGAAGAATTTGAGTTTACAATTACAGAGAGGTTAGAGTCTATCATGGCCTTAGAGGCATGGTGGCTGGAGGTAGCCAGAGCAGAAAACTGATCTTCAAGCAGACACAGGAAGCAGAGAGAGAGAGAGACAGGAAATCCATCAAGGTTTAAGAACTCTTAAAGCTTCCCCCCAGTGATGTGCCTCCTCTGGTAAGACCACACCTCCTAAAACCTCCCAAAACAGCGTTGCCAACTGGGGACAAAATGTTCAAATCCTGGGAGCCTGTGAAGATCATTCTCATTCAAACTACCACAGCAATACAGTGATTCATTAATTAAACATAATTTATACAATCCTAATCAAATAAAAGTTAAGCTGGACATGGTAGCTCACAACTCTAATCCCAGCACTTGGGAGGCAGAGACAGGCAGATCTATGTGAGTTCTAGGCCAGCTGGGGCTACAAGGAGACCCTGTCTCAAAAAGACCAAAAAAAAAAAAAAGAAAATTATCTTGTCATCAGAATTTTTTTTAAATCCTAGATATAAACACACATTTGGCCCCTTCAAGACTGCTTCCTATAATGATATGAATATAGTGATATTCTTTTAAAACATTTCTGGTTTTGAGCAGTTCTTTTCACTTTGCTCTTCTAGTAGCCAAAGTGGGGTATTTGCAAGGACGATCGTCTCTGTCTCCACCTTTACACTGATGAGATGCAAAAGCAAAGGCAACCCAAAACTAACTGCCTGTGTCCTGTTCAGAGAAAATTGTCTAATAAAATGCAGTTTGGTCCTTTATCTTCACTTGCTCATCAAATTATTTGGATGGCATTGCTTAACAAAGAGAATGAGCTGGTATATGAAATGACTTTTTTTAATGCGATTTTTCTAATTTCAGGTATCAATCATGGTGATCTTAACGACCATAACATTTTAGTAGAGTCCAGCAAGTCAGCCTTTGGAGATGCCGCGTATCAAGTGTCTGGGATTTTAGACTTTGGTGACATGAGCTATGGCTACTATGTGTTCGAAGTGGCAATCACCATTATGTACATGATGATTGAAAGCACTAATCCTATGCAAGTAGGAGGTCACATCCTTGCAGGGTTTGAAAGCATAATCCCACTGACCGCCGTAGAGAGGAGTGCTTTGTTTTTACTTGTGTGCAGTCGGTTTAGTCAGTCACTTGTCATGGCCACATACTCTTGCCAGCTGTACCCAAAGAACAGAGAGTATCTCATGATTACTGCAAAAACTGGGTGGAAGCACTTACAGCAAATGTTTGACATGGGTCAGAAAGTGGTAGAAGAAATCTGGTTTGAAACTGCAAAGTCCTATGAATCTGGGATCTCCATGTGACTGCAGATTAGTCCACATTTCCTTGAGTACTTAAAACTCAATAGGCCCAAACCAGATTTGTGAAGGATTTTTCCGTAGAGTTAAAAATGAATCGATAGAACAGATTGATTCCAAGTATGAAGAGCAGACGAAAACTCTAGTGTTTTGAGCAATCTTAGGACCGTCTTTTACAATGAAGAAAGTACTACATGAAGAGCGCTTGCCTAGTGTGCTCAGGCCCTGGGTCCAACCTCCAGTACTCAGAAAAGATATGCAAGCAAGCATGTCTGTCTCTGGGTCTTGCTTGCCATTTATATGAAATGCACATGATTATACCTGATTTTAATCAGTCTTTCAGATCTTAATCAAGGTCTATTTTAGTCCTTAATGACTTTTGAACTTTGAAAAAGAATAGGCATGTATAGCTATGTTCACATATTTTAAATAATAGGACATAGCCTGCACGTCACTAATTCTATGAAACCTCTGATCTCTCCTCTAGAATCCCACTGCATTCTGTCTTTTTCACAGCTTTTCACTTTTCATGCTAGATTACAGTTGTGCAGTCATGTACTCTGTGAGCTATCTGACCATGGGAGAGAACATGAAAAACTTTTGTCTCTGTATCTTCCCATACCTACAATAGTGTCTTTCCCACCGAACAGTCTCTAAACATACTTACAAAATGAGATGATTGTATGCAAGAAGAAAGGCCAAAGAAGGTGCACACTGTGATGCCTTAGAGAAAACACAGCTGTAAGAAAACAATACTGCACTTGAGGGAATAGTCGAAACTGGAGCCCCCAAGACAGATGCTAGACAACATTGGAACTGCAAGGAAGTGAAATAAGACATCCAAGCAAGGACACCAACCCCTCAGCTACTTAAGTACAACAGTTTCCAAGCTGATACAAAGAAGGTTCCTTAAAAGATTTTTTTGAGACAGGGTCTCACTATGTTGCTCAGGCTGGTCTTGAACTCCTTGGCTCAAGCAATCCTTGTGTCAGCCTCTCAGTGCTGGGACCATAGTCATGCACAACTGTGCCTGGCTCCAGATGATTTTCATCCTCTATAGTTTGAGATTGCTTTTATGTGAGTCTGCAGAATTAGTGAAGCACATTGTATATTTGTCTTAAAATCTACCACTGCATTTCTTTTACTTTTCATATCTCTGCCTGTGTAAGTGGATATTTACTTCTTTTAGGGTGGGTTGTTTTGCTTTACTTTGCTTTGTGACAGGAATCTACTATGTTGTCCATACTGTCATCAAACTCATGAGCTCTACTGATCATTCTGCCTCTGCCAAACAAGTAGCTAGGCCTTCACACATGCGCCATTACATCCACTCATCATTTATGTTCGTGGGGTTGTTTTTTTGTTGTTTTGTTTTGTTTTTTTTTTTTTTTATTGAGAATTTCATACATGTATATAAGGTGTTTTGTTTTGAGAGTTCTTAATGCTTGCCAGATTTCCAGCCTCTGGCTGCTTCCTGTGCCTGCTTGAAGATGTGATCTCTGGGCTCTCTGCTCCAGCCATCTCTGCCACCATGCCTTCCCTGCCATTACGAAGCACTAACCCTCTGAGATCTTTTTGAGACAGGATCTTCCTGTAGCCCAAGCTGGCCTGGAACTCTCTATGTAGACCAAGCTATTCTCAAACCTACAGAAATCCTGCCTCTGCCTCCGGAGTGCTGGGATTAAAGGCATGTGCTGCCAAGCCTTGCCATTCTTGTGTTTTTAACTACTTGTGTTCTGTTCTACAGATGACTCAGGTGTAAACCCTTGGTCATTCACACACTCTGTCAATAGGTATCTCTTTCTATATGTGTGAGTAGGCACTGAAACTGTAACTACTTGTCTACCTGCCTGCCTGTCTTCCATATCTGTTGGTATTTCCCAAACTAGGTGTTTTCCTGAATTTACTTATATCATTAGTTTTTTGAATCATTAATTTGGGGGAGGTTCTTTTTGAGACAGGGTCTCTTTTGTAGCCCCAGCTGTCCTGGAACTCACTACATAGACCAGGCTGGCCTTGAACTCCAAGAGATCCGCCTGCCTCTGCCCCCCAAGTTCTGGGATTAAAGGTGTATGCCACCATGCCTGGCTGAATCATTAATTTTTAATTTCTCTGTCTCTACTTCTATTTCTGTAAAGTCAAGATAATGATAGTACTGATCTAAGAGTTAATTGTGAGACTTTCATAATTGAATATGCCAACTGTTTACCATAGTCCCTAGCATGTAATAGAGAATTGAAAAATATTTACTGAATAAATGAATCATATTCCAGGTTACCCAAACTCAAAATATTGGAGCAGTATGTTACTTGCCCTTCTCATATTCAATCAGTGAGGACTGCTAGTTCCAAGATCAGAATTTTAGGTCAGCAAATATGCAGTCTTTATTCTTTTATTAAAGTTTTCAACAGTATATAATATAATCCAATATTTATTGGACACTAAATATTTTACATACACAACTTCATTTAATCCACAGCAGAACCATAGAGATATTCTGACAATTAATCTCCATTTTCAAATAAAGAGTAAAGGCTTTAAAAGCTGAATTAATTTACTCAAAGGAAAACCTGGGCTTAGAACCTAAATGAGGTCTTTTGGATACAACCGATGTTCCTAATTGCTACAGGCCCCCTTCCACTTCCGCCTCTTCTATCCTTAAACACACACCAAATGAGATCATTCACATGTGAAAACACATGATTCTGGAATTTAAGGATTTGTTTAACTTGGCCAGTCAGGGAGCTGGGGAACAGAAAAATGCACTGATACCTGGGTCTCCAAACCAGCCTTCATCTTGTACAATGGAACCCTGCAGATTTCCCTCTTGATTGTTCTTGCGATCATGGATTCCCTTCACTGAATTCCTAATGCAAATATTGCTGATCACTGTTTAAATACATGATATTTAAATACATTCTGCATCATACTGATATTTTACTATTTAGTCTTTTTTTCTTTTTTGGGACAGGGTCTCCCTATGTAGCCCAGGCTGGTGTCAAACTCACTATGTAGTCCAAGCTACCCTTGATTTTGTGGCAATCCTCCTGCCTCAGCCTCCCTAGTACTGGAATATTTGGTGTTTCTTGTTATCTCTAATAGATGTTCCCATGTATTTAAAAAAAGTCATTGGTGGCTATGATGTCTAATTTTAGGTGTCACAGTTACCAAGTTAAGGGATGCCCAGAAGCTGATAAAATATGATTTGGGGGTATGTCTTCAAGGGTGTTTTTTTGTTTTTTGAGATAGGGTCCCATGTAGCCCAGGCTGACCCTGAACTCCTGATCCTCCTGCTTCCACTACTTGAGTGCTAGAATCACAGGAATGTGCCACCACACCAGCTCCATGAGGGCTCAGAGAGAACAAAAGGCAAAGGAAACAGGAATCTTAATTCCTCATCAGGAGCTGAGACATCCATCATTTCTTGCTCCTGGACATCCAGTCTCTTCCAGATTCCTGGCCTTTGGACTTCAGTACCAGTGGCCCCTCATGTTCTCGGCCTTTCAGCTCAAACTGAGAGTTACACTATGGGCTCCCCTGGTTTTCAGGCCATCGGACTTAGACTGGATGCCACCTAAAGCCTGGCTCCCCTGGTTGTCCAGCTTGCGGAGTTCATATTGTGGGACTTCTTCATCTTTATAATCACATAATAAATCTCCATGTAAATTCTGTCATCTCTGTTTTGTTTAACTCAAGGACAGGTTTACTGGAGCAAAAGAAAAACAACGGAAGAGACAAGCTGGCGATCTCAGCAGCTACTGGGAGGATGGAGATGGAAGAGTAAAAAGAAACTTAGATATTCAAACTCAAGAAAGCAGGCAGGCTCAACGATGAAAATCAGCAAACAGCCGCATGGGGCTGGGGGCTTCAGAGACAGTGGGGAGGAGAATATGCCTGGAGTATTAGGGAAAACAGGCTTAGGATTTTAGCCAGTGTCTGGGAAAAAGGATATGGGGGGGAGGGGAGACTACACTTTCTGAGTTGAAACTCGGAAAACAAGCAGGTTTAGCAGTATGAATTGGTAAGCAACTGCTATCTGTCTATCCTGTTGGTTCTGTAATGATCTGTTGAATGGCTGGGTATAGTGACATAGGCCTATAATCTTAGCACAGAGGCAGGGGGATTAATACACATTCCAAGCTAGCCTCGTCCATAGCAAGTTCCAGGTTGGCCAAGGCTATGTAGTCTCAAAAAAGCCCAAACAAACAAACAAAAATCAGTGAAGGAGTGTGGGGGTGGGGGGCAGGGGCGGGATCCTGTTGGATGAACTGCAAGAACAAATGCTTGTTTGTCTTTTGACACGGTCTCTGTAATCCCAGGCTGGATTGGTGGCTCCAGTTTGTAGCACTCTTGCCTCAGCTCCCAAGTAGCAGGATTACAGGTAGGAGCTACCATGCTCCCCTCAGAAATAAACATATTTCTACAAGTGTCAGCTCTGGTCCTTTCAGTCAACAAGGAAAGAACCCTTGGAATCAATGTCAAATGTCTGGCAAAGACTCTGCTCTTTGGGTCTCTTCCTGTCTAGGATTTTTTTTTTTTTTTTTTTTTTTTGGTCTTTTTGAGACAGGGTCTCCCTGTAGCCCCAGCTATCCTGTAACTGACTATGTAGACCAGGTTGGCCTTGAACTCATAGAGATCTGCCTGCCTCTGCCTCTGCCTCTGCTGGGATTAAAGGTGGTGCCACCACGCCCGGCTCCTGTCTAGGATTTTATCTTCTCAAATGTCAACCCTTTGTATTAGAAGCAGACAAAAAGTCTCATTATGCCAGGTGTGGTGGCACATGCCTTTAATCCTAGCACTAGGGAGGCAGAGGCAGGAGGATCTCTTTGAGACTGAGGCCAGCCAGGTCTATAGTGAGTGAATTCCAGGCCAGCTGGGGCTGTTGGGAGATACTGTCTCAAAAAAAAAATTTTTTTTTTATTACATATGTTGTTGTGTAACAATGTGACCAAGAACTTAGTGACTTAAAATTTCAATGACTTTATTTTATTTATTTATTTATTTATTTTTATTTACCTACCTATCTATTATGTGCTTGGAAGCAAATTCAAGGTTTCCTATATGCTAGGCGATTTTTCTGC